TCTCTGTCGTCCCATTCAACTTTTGCCCTCAATCTTTCCCAGCATTAGGCTCTTCTCCAGGGGTTAATTGCTACCAGTTTGGACCAGTTCAGCCGAACCAGTAGCGATGATTGCCATTTGTTTGCTGAACTGGTAGCAATGCCGCCAGCCGGCATTGTTTAGCTGATGAGACCCGGAGGAGACCAACTCTGTGGGATCTTACCGGTCACTGGGAGCTATGTGGTAGAAGGCAGTCTCAAAGATAACCTGGCCCTGAGCCATGTATGGCTTTAAAGGTAATAACCAACACCTTGAATTGTACCCGGAGACCAATAGGGAGCCGGTGCAGCTTGCGGAGTATTGGTGTAATGTGTGTGTATCTAGGTGCACCCACGATAGCTCGCGCGGCTGCATTCTGGACCAACTGTAGTCTCCGAACACCTTTCAAGGGTAATCCCATGTAGAGTGCGTTGCAATAATCTAACAAGGTGACAAGGGCATGAGTGACTGTGAGGAGAGCCTCCCAATCCAAGTAGGGTCGCAATTGGTGCACCAGGCGAACCTGTGCAAAGGTCCCCCTAGCTACAGCTCAGATGTTGCTCTAATCTTAGCTGTGAGTCTAGGAGGACACCCAAATTGTGAGCCCGTTCTGAGGGGGACTGAAATGTAGTGGTTCCAATGAGCCAGGCAACTCCAAGTGACTTCAGCATCTCTTTATTACATGATAAAAGCAAGTAGTAAAAGGCTAGAACAAGCTTACTTAACCAGAAACAGACCAAGAATATATACTGTTAAGGCTGCTGCTACAGGCTGGCCACTGGGTGGAGTAATTGACCAGCAAAGCTGATTGGGCCTAAAACCCCGGCCAGCTGTTAGTAGAACAAATAACCACAGGGCGGGGCCGTTGCAACCCGGAAGCACAGGCAAGCCGATCCCAAGACACAACACTCCTCCCCTCTAAGTGCAAATTGCCCCGCAGACATAGTCTTTAAGGTATGTGGGCAACCGCCGTTCTCGGCACGACCTGCGTGGCAAGATCTTTTCTGGGGAGGTGGCCCCCTCCCCAGTAATAGTTGGAGTTTTAGCCACTGGGGGTTCCACGATCACATCCACCGGCCCCGTCTCCGGCTGAGATCGACTGGCCTCCAAATTAGCGGGGATCTCCAACCTTGCCAGTTCTTGCTCCAGCCCTACAGGGCTGGGTAGGGCAAGTTCCCGCTGTGGCTCTGGGAGGTGCGGATGCTCCAACACTTCCGTCTCCTCCTCTGGAGGTATTACCCTCTGCCTCAACTGATCAATATGACGTCCCCAGATGGCCCCCCCGCTCTGTGGAAACCTCATATGAGGTGGGCCCCTTGACCTGTACCACATAGCCAGGCAACCAAACTGGGCCAATTCCATAGTTCTGAATATATACTGGGTCCCCAGGGAAGAACCCCCTGGGTGCTCTCCTATTCCCCATATTGGGCCTTAGAATGGGTGTACAGGGGGTGATATGCTGTGCAATTAGAAATTGGGCTAAACGATGTTGTAAGTCCCCATCCCCCAATTGCCTGAGCCCCTCCTTGGCCGTACGCACCATACGTTCGGCCTGACCATTCGTGGCAGGATGGAACGGCGCCGACCGTATGTGTCGGATACCGTACTTCTGAATAAACTCTAAGAACTCCCTTGACGTGAAAGCTGTACCATTGTCTGACACAAGCGTATCAGGCAGCCCAAAAGTGGCAAACAGCTTTCTCAAAGCTCTGACCGTAACGGCCGTAGACGTGGTGGAAACAGGGACAACTTCTAACCATTTCGAGTGGGAATCCACCACTATAAAGAACATTTGTCCCCGTACTGGCCCAGCAAAATCTATATGGAGACGGGACCATGGTTTCCGGGTGTCCTCCCATGTCTGCCCTGGAGCGCAGGGCGGAACAGGACGTGACTCCTGACAGGGCACACAACCCCGAACCCACGTCTCAATTTCTTTATCGATCTTGGGCCACCACACATAACTTCGGGCAAGGGCTTTCATTCGCACTACCCCGGGGTGTGCTTCATGCAGCGCTTCCATGACCCGTTTGCGTAGCGGGGGTGGAACCACCACCCTGCACCCCCACAACAGACACCCCTTGTGCACTGATAACTCCCCTTGCTTCTCAACATATGCCGTAAACTCTGGGCCCGGCTTGGCCTCCGGCCACCCCCTCCCCACCCAGTCCAGGACCCGGGAGATGACTCGATCCCTAGATGAGTATTTTGCAATGTCCTTGGCGTGGAGGGGCGCATCTGGGAGGTCCTCCAGGAGCATTACGACATGAGCCGGGGCGGGGTCAGGCCCACTCTCTGGTAATGGAAGGCGACTCAGCGCATCAGCATGCCCCATGGCTTTGCCCTTCCGATATACCAGAGAGTACTGATACCCAGCCAGAAATATGGACCACCTAAGAACCCGGGGTGAGAGTACCTGTAGCGTCTGGCGATCGGGTGCGAAAAGTCCCAACAACGGTTTATGATCAGTTAAGATGGTGAAGGGCCTGCCGTAAAGGAAATCATGGAACTTTTTTACCCCCTTTACTATCGCTAGGCCCTTCTTATCTATTTGGGCATAGTTCCATTCAGCTGCCGAGAAGGTCTGTGAAAAATACGCTACCGGAACCTCCTTCCCATTCGGCAACACATGGCCCAAAACGGCCCCTACCCCATAAGGGGATGCATCACACGCTAAAACCACCGGGAGCGACTCATCAAAATGGGCCAACACGTTGTTAGAAATCAATAACTTCTTGGCCGCCCAGAACGCTGCTTCCTGCCGCGGGCCCCAAGTCCACTTGGCCTGTTTGTCCAGGAGTCTATGAAGGGGTTCCGCGACCCCCGCCTTGTGAGGTAGAAAAGCATGATAAAAGTTTAAAAGGCTGAGGAATGCTTGCAATTCTGCCTTACTTGTGGGGGCAGGTGCGTCGCAGATTGCCCGTATCTTCTCCGGTGCCGGGTGGATACCACTGGTGTCAACCGTAAACCCCAGAAAGTCCACTCGCTCCACCCCCAAAAGGCATTTTTCTCGTTTAACTTTCGGCCCTGCCGCCTGAAACCTTTGCAACACTGCTCCTAGTCGGGTGACGAATTCTGACGACGTCGGGGCGGAGATTAGCACATCGTCGAAAAAGGGCGTTACTCCCGGCAACACTTTCAAAAGTGAGTCCATTAAGTTCTGAAAAATCCCGGGTGCGACACTAACCCCAAATTGTAGTCTTTTCACCCTAAAAGCACCCCTGTGTGTAACGATCGTCTGTGCATCGGCCGTCGCCTCATCGACCTGCAGCTGTTGATATGTCTGGGCCAAGTCCAGCTTGCCAAAGACTTTAGCCCCCGCTAACGTAGCCAGGATGTGTTGTATGACCGGAACTGGATAGGCGTGGTCGGGCAATGCCTTGTTGAGGGTGCATTTATAATCCCCACAGAGGCGGACCGCCCCATCTGGCCTCACTGGGGTCACAATTGGGGTTTCCCAAGACCCGTGAGGAACCTCTTCCAAGACCCATTGGGCAACTAACCGATCCAACTCAGCGTCGATCTTAGGCTTCAAGGCAAAGGGGACCCGGCGTTCCTTAAGTTTGATGGGCCTCACAGCCGGGTCCAACCAAAGGGAGATTGGAGGGCCATTATATAACCCCAACGAGCCATCAAATACAGTCGAGAACTCCACGCAGACCTTTACCAAGTCCGGGTCTGCAGTTCTAATCATGTTCACCCCGGTCACCTCAATGCCTAGAGGGCCCATCCAATTCCTGCCTAATAAGCTTGTATACGGCCCTTCAGTTATAAACAATTCGAGGTTCTGTCGGACCCCCTTGAATCCAACCTCGAATGTTCCAACCCCCTTCAACGCTATGGGATTTTTCTGGAAGTCTCTTAACTTGAATGGGGGGGCTTCAAGTGAGGACAACTTTCTGGGGCAGATACTCCGGAGTGTTTTAGCCGAAATAATGGACACGGGGGATCCCGTGTCCAAGAACATGGGACACGCTGTGCCCTCAATGTTAACTACTACCCTGATGGAACTCGGGGCTTCTGAGCTAAGGCTGTATACTTGCAAGAGATCATACTGAGGCCAGGCCGTGTCCACTTCGACGTTCGCCGTCTGTCTCTGTCGTGGGCTCTGCTCTCGACCCCCCCTTAGCTCGACATGTGCGGGCGATGTGTCCCAACTTCCCGCATCGCCGACACTTAGCGTTCCAGAACCAGCAAGTCCTCCGTAGATGATCCCCACCACAGCTGCCACACTGATGTCCAATGGCCTCCGACGCGTTGTTCCGAACCGTTCCTCCGCCGGCCCAAGGGGCACTCCCACGCCTCATCAATCACACGTCCTCCCTTCCCGAGTCGGAATCCTCTGCGGGGCTCTCCTGATGAAACCCCACCCAACTGGGTGTTGGCGTGGTTCCCCCCTTCCGGGCCTCTGGGGCCGTCTCCTCAGCCGCGATAGCGATGGCCAGGGCATCTTCCAATTTAAGATCTTTTTTTAACAAAATTTCCTCAACAACTTCTTGTCTGCCTGTCCACATATAAACTGGTTAAATAAAGCCTCGTTCAAGTCATTAAATTCACACCAGCGAGCCAATTTGCGCAACTCTGCCAAAAACGTTGTGGCTGGCTCAGCAACCAAACACCTACGATTAAAAAACTCTACCCGCCGAAACACCAACGTTGGTTTAGGTGCTAAATGGGCCATAATAACGCCCACCAGGTCAGAGTAGGGGAGCTGATCCACTTTCCTTGGGTGCACAAGTCTCACCGCTAGCCCACACAAGTCATTTCCGCAGCAATTCAGGAACCAGTCTCGCCATGCACCCTCATCGATAATGCCATAGCACCGGAAAAAGGACTCCAGCCGCGCTTGGCATATTTCCCACGTATCCAGGCGGCGTATGTCAAACTCCAACAATGCCGCCGCACCAGCCAACCCCAACTGGGGGGGCGGGATGGCAAGGGCACCTGCATGCAAGGTGGCAGACGTACCAGTGTTACTGGAAGTGCTCGTAGTCTCCCTCGAGGAGCTCATGGCCATTCAGCCTGGAGCAACCGCCAGCTCTGAATTGCTGGATGGAAGGAAGCCGCTTCCTTCAACATCCCATCCTCGTCGCCAGTGAAATGTAGTGGTTCCAATGAGCCAGGCAACTCCAAGCGACTTCAGCATCTCTTTATTACATGATAAAAGCAAGTAGTAAAAGGCTAGAACAAGCTTACTTAACCAGAAACAGACCAAGAATATATACTGTTAAGGCTGCTGCTACAGGCTGGCCGCTGGGTGGAGTAATTGACCAGCAAAGCTGATTGGGCCTAAAACCCCGGCCAGCTGTTAGTAGAACAAATAACCACAGGGTGGGGCCGTTGCAACCCGGAAGCACAGGCAAGCCGATCCCAAGACACAACAGGGACAATTTCTCCCTCCCCCAGAACCAAGGGTGGACAATCAACATAGTCTTTAGGAGGCAATACCCACAGCCATTCGGTCTTGTCTGGGTTAAGTCTGAGCCTGTTGACTCCCATCCAGACCCTCACAGCCTCCAGGCACCGACACATCACATCCACTGCATCACTGAATTGATGCAGGGTAGAGATATACAGCTGGGTATCATCTGCGTATTGCTGATATCTCACCCCGTATCATTGTATGATCTCACCCAGTGGCTGCATGTAGATGTTAAATAGGGGAGAGAGGACCGAGCCCTGAGGCACCCCGCAAATGCGGGGCCTAGGGGTCGACTTCTGTCCTCCTACCAACACCAACTGTGACCGACCAGAGAGATAGAAGGAAAACCACCGTAACACGGTGCCTCCCACTCCCAACTCCCTTAGTCGTCCCAGAAGGATACCATGGTCAATGCCGCTGAGAGGTCAAGTAGCACCAAGATGGAGGAATGACCCCCATCTTGGGCTTGCCAGAGATCATCCATCAGTGTGACCAAAGCAGTTTCCGTGCTGTAGCCAGGTCTGAAGCCAGACTGAAAAGGGTCCAAGGGTCTTCATGCTGCCCCCAAGGTCCCCGGGCCCACCTGCCTGGCCTGCTAACCACCCACCTTATCCCCAGCCTCCAGCTTGCTTACCTTCACTCTTTGGACTGAATCCCAAGCCTCTGGTTGCAATGCCTACCTTGCTTCACCTGCTGCAATCCCTGCAAACAATTTCATCGGCAAGCAACTGAATCTGCCTGCCTGCCTGCTTTGTGCCTTCAATTGGGTAAGTAACTGGTTTTTTGAGGGTGGGATTTTTTAAAAAATAGTTAATTGGGGGTTTTTTAGGAATTTTTTTTTTAGACATAGCCATTTAAATTTAGGAAGTTTTAAATTTAGCTGCTTTTATGTAAAAATATAAATAAAATAAAATAATACAATAAAATATTTCTGCAGCTTTTTGACATTTTGTTTGTTTCTGTAGTGTTTCACTCTCACTACACAAACACAGAAAATCTCACAGCTGTATGTGACATTTTGTGTGGAAAAAGTGTGAAAGTTGGTTTTTGAGCTTTTTGTGGCTCTGTGAGGTTCCTGCTTCTTGCACGGGCCATTTTGGATGAAGTGCAGCTGTTTTTTCATTGTGTGTAAGTCAGTTGTGTTCTTTTGTGTTGTGTGTGTGTAAAGTGTGAAAGTTGATTTTTGAGCTTTTTGTGTGCTTTTACATTGTGTGTCCTCAACTAACAAAGCTCCTTTTTTTTCCTTTTGCAGTAGCAGCTGCCTTTAACGGATGAAAAGGCAACAGACTTTGATCGGTTTCTTGGCCAAGAAACCAAAACTTGTACAACAACCATCAGAAGTGGCCTTGGATGATCCAAAACTATCCCAAGCACCACAAACTTCACCACTTGAAACCAGAGAAAGCAAGCCAAGTATTGAGTCACCCGCCACATCTGAAAGTGAAAGCATTCTTCCAGACTGCTGGACTATGCAACAGTACATCAACTTCCAAGAGAAATATGATGGGTTGGAAGTTTCAAACAAGAAACTAGGTTGCAAGTACTGTGTGAAACATGACTTTGCAATAGAGCGCAGTATTCATGTGTCCAAAGAGTGGAAGCTTTTCAAGATTGAGGCGGCTGGGAAAAACAAGGATGTGCAGCAGGCATCTCTAAGGAAGAAAATGAGAGAACATTTCATATCAAAATCACACACCATTTGTAGAGACAACATAAAGCAAGCAGAGCAGGAAGCCATAACAAAAGCAATGGACAAGATTTCTAAAAAGAAATATGGCACCACTTCTAAAATGTTCAAAACTGTTTACAGCCTGGCAAAAGCATGCAGACCAATTTCAAGCATAGAGGAATTGATAGAATTACAAACTGAAAATGGAGTAGATCTGGGAGTAAGATTGCATTCAAGGCCAACAATTGTGAAAACAGTTGAGTACATTGCAAACAAAATTAAAACCCAAATGTTTACCAGCACCATTGAACAGAATTTGAAAATATGTCTGATCATTAATGAAGCCTCAACAGTATCCTGCAAACCAGTTTTGATAGTGTTCGTAAAAGTTGAGGACTCAGAGGACCCACCAACAATTTTTGTTGAGCTTGTTGAATTGAAGAAACAAGATGCAGAGACAATATGTTCTGCAGTTTTTGAAAGTTTATATAAGGTTGGATTTACCCAGGACTATCTACAAAAAAATTTAATAGCGTTCTGCTCTGATGGTGCCAGCGTTATGCTTGGGAGAAAATCTGGAGTGAGCATCAGATTAGCAAAAGAGTTTCCAAACATCATCATATGACACTGCTTGAACCATTGCCTCCAACTTGTTTTAGATGATGCCATAAAGGAAATAAAGCAAGTAAATCATTTAAAAATATTTATTGATAAGATATGCTCCATTTTTCAGCAATCCAAAAAGAACCGAATTGAACTTGACGAAATATCTGAAAGAACTTGACATTAACATCATAAGGATTGGTAGAGTTTTTGGGCCAAGATGGGCTGGAAAATAAATATTTCTTAAATGATTTGGCGTTGATGACTGATATTCTTGAAGAAATCTCACTTCTTTCAATTGCACTGCAAGCACGCAATTTGGACATAATAAAGGCTGAAAAACTGGTAAGAAGATCAATAAAAGCATTTAAACTGCTTACAAAGGGAAAGGGCCCATACGAAACAAAAGTTGATGGACTAATTACTTCAGAAACCTTCAGAAATATAAACTTCATAGAAAATCATCAATTTGTTGGACTTCATCAGGAAAGACTTTTAGGAAGCATAAAACATTTGCAGAAATGACTGATGGACTGTGAACATTTAAAAACTGGTAGCCAATTGCAAGACACCACAAATAAACTACAGTTTCTACATTTTTTAGTGCCAGAGTACTGGGATTTTGAGAAAATAGTCGTTCAATGGACAGCAGCTGAAGAACAACTGCACACATTTGGAGACATATTCAATTACAACATTAACATCAACGAATATAGATATTTTGTGGAGAATGCGTTAAAAGATTCGAAGGGGTATGCAATTCCTGACAGTATTAAAAAAACAAAAGATATTGTCAGAACAATTGCAGTAAGTTCTGCAAAAGCAGAAAGGGGTTTTTCGAAAATGAACTTCAGAGAGCAGAAGTCGCCTAACCGTTTCCAATTTAACCAACCTCATGACCATCAGCGTTACTGGCCTAACTCTTCCAAAATGGGACCCTATTCCTGCAGTGAAAAAGTGGTTCAGAGAACACTATCGTTCAGCCAATGATCCGGGCATCAAGTTCAGGAAAAGTGGAAGTGAGGAGAGTGCCACTGAAATAGCTATGTGGAAACATCTTATAGCTAAAGATGACTAACAGTTTTATGTAGGTATTTGTGTACCTCTTTTATTGTTTTTTTTATTGTTTTGTGTACTTCTTTTATTCTTATATGCATATTAAATAGTTAAATTTGTATATCATGGTATATCTTCTTTTTGTAAGTCATTATTATCATTGGTGCAAGAAGCGATGTCGAAGACAACACTTTTATTGCTCTTATGTACCGTGTTTCCCCGAAAATAAGACCCTGTCTTATATTTTTTTGAACCCTGAAATAAGCGTTTATACACACATGACTGCACCCCATTGTATAACACCAACACAATTATTAAATTTGCAAATGACACAACAGTGGTGGGGCTCATTAATAAGAACAATGAGTCTGCTTATAGGAAGGAAGTACAAGGGCTGACATTGTAGTGTAAAGAAAATAATTTTACACTTAACACCAAAAAAACTAAAGAATTTATAATTGACCTCAGGAGGAAGAGAGATGTACATTTACCATTGTGCATAAATAGTGAGGAGGTGGAGAGGGTGTGTAGTTTTACATTTCTGGGCATTTATATCTCGAAGGACCTCTCATGGACTATGAATGCTAACATGTTTGTGAAGAAGGCACAGAAGAGTCTGTACTTCTTGAGAATGCTCAGGAAAATAAATCTATTTCAGCATCTACTTCTGTCCTATCGCAGCACCATTGAGAGTGTCCTGACATATGGCATTCTTGCATGGTATGGGAGCAGCTCTGTAGCGGACAAAAAAGCTCTACAGAGAATCATTAAAACTGCCCAGAATATCATCGGACTCCAGCTACCAGCCCTGGACGACATGTTCGAATCTCGCTGTTTGAGAAAGTTGCATAACGTTCGCAGAGACTCTTCCCATCCTGCTTACAATCTTTTTGGACTGTTGCCTTCTGGCAGAAGATACAGAACAACTAAAACTTGGACCACACATTTTCTGAATAGTTTTTATCCCAGAGCAATAATTGCACTCAACAATGAACTAAAGGGCCACCATCAGTGAGCTGTTGGACAGTATTACTTTGTCTGTTGTGTGGATGTTGGGTGGTTTAGGGGTGGGGAATTGTGGTGGGTGGGAGTGTGTTTGGGGATTGTTATGTATGTTGGACCTGGTCTTTGGGTGTTAAGTGAATTTCATTGTATGGGTATACTGTGTATACACGTACAATGACAATAAAGTTATTAAAAGCCTGATTGGGCTTATTATCAGGCTTTTATCTTATTTTGGGGGGGAACAGGGTAAGTATTTGTATACCTCTTATTGTTTTGTGTACTTCATTTATTCTTATTTAAGTATTAATTGCATGAAATAATTGGTATATTTTCTTTTTGTAGGTCAAAAAAGGGCAAAGAAGTGTCGTTGACTTGGTCACGCCCACCCGGTCACATGACCACCAAGCCACGCTACCCGGTCACATGACCACCAAGTCATGCCCACCCAGTCATATGACCACTAATCCATACCCACCAGATAAGCCACGTCCACAATACCGGTACGGAAAAGTTTTAGATTTCACCCCTGGTCCTTCCTTCTCATTAGGTGGCCAAAGTATTTGAGTTTCATCTTCAGGATCTGGCCTTCTAAAGAGCAGTTAGGTTTGATCTCTAGGACTGACCGGTTGGATCACCTTGCAGTCCAAGGAACTCGCAGAAGTCTTCTCCAGCACCGTAAAGGCCTTTCTTATGGTCCAACTTTCACAGCCATACATTGCAACTGGAAAAACCATAGCCTTGACTATACGCACTTTTGTTGGCAGGGCAATGTCTCTGCTTTTTAGTATGCTGTCTAGATTTGCCATAGCTCTCCTCCCCAGGAGCACACGTCTTTTAATTTCTTGGCTGCAGACCCCATCTGCGGTGATCTTGGAGTCCAGAAATCTGTCACTACCTCCATTTCCCCCCCCATCTATTTGACAGGAATTGAGAGGGCCGGATGCCATGATCTTAGTTTTCTTAATGTTGAGTTTCAAGCCAACTTTTGTATTCTCCTCCTTCACCCACATCAAGAGGCTCTTTAGTTCCTCTTCACTTTCTGTCATTAAAGTGGTATCATCTGCATATCTGAGGTTGTTGATATTTCTCCTGGCAATTTTAATTCCAATTTTTGATTCATCTAGCCCCACCTTTCTCATGATGTGCTCTGCATATAAGTTAAATAGGCAGGGTGATATACAGCCTTGCCGGACTCCTTTCCCAATTTTGAACCAATCAGTGGTTCCGTGTCCAGTTCTCACTGTTGTTTCTTGACCCACATATAGGTTTCTCAACAGACAAATGAGATGGTCTGGTACTCCCATCTCTTTAAGAACTTGCCACAATTTGTTGTGATCCACACAATCAAAGGCTTTAGCATAGTCAATGAAGCAGAAGTAGATGTTTTCTGGAACATACTAATAAGTATGGCCTAAATGTAGATTGCAAAAAATCTGCAAACCCCAGGCAGAGAAAAAATGAATATATCCACTCCAATTGTTGTTGTTAGTTGCAAGGTCATGTCCGACCCATTGTGACCCCATGGACAATGTTCCTCCAGGCCTTCCCGTCCTCTACCATCCTCTGGAGTCCATTTAAGCTCATGCCTACTGCTTCAGTGACTCCATCCAGCCACCTCATTCTCTCTCGTCCCCTTCTTTTTTTGTCCTCAATCTTTCCCAGCTTTAGGCTCTACTCCAGTGAGTCCTTCCTTCTCATTAAGTGGCCAAAGTATTTCAGTTTCATCTTCAGGATCTGGCCTTCTAAAGAGCAGTCAGAGTGGATCTCCTCTAGGACTGACCAGTTTGATCGCCTTGAAGTCCAAGGGACTTGCAGGAGTCTTTTCCAGCACCGTAGTTCAAAGGCCTCAATTCTTTGGCACTCAGCCTTTTTTATGGTCCAACTTTCACAGCCATACATTGCAACTGGGAATACCATAGCCTTGACTATACACACTTTTGTTGGCAGGGTGATGTCTCTGCTTTTTAGTATGCTGTCTAGATTTGCCATAGCTTTCCTCCCTAGGAGCAAGTGTCTTTTAATTTCTTGGCTGCAGTCCCCATCTGTGGTGACCTTGGAGCTCAGGAAAATAAAATCTTTCACTACCTTCGTTTCTTCCCCATCTATTTGTCAGGAATTGAGAGGACTGGATATAGTGGTGAAATCTACATTTTTTGCCACTGGTTCTGTGGGCGTGGCTTGGTGGGCATGGCTTGGTAGTGGTCATGTGACTGGGTGGGCATGGCCAACTTTTTTTTTACTTTTTAAAACATTTTTAACTAGTAAAAATGCTTTAAAAAGTAAAAAAAAAAAGGTTCCGATGATCAGCACCTGACCAGCCTGACCCTCCTTGCCCAGCCAGACCCAACGCCTCCTAGACCTGAAGATTGCCTGCCTTTCCACCTCGGCCACCCAGTCCGGGAGATGATGGAGGAGGGGGGGGGAGAGAGAAACAAAGTGCTCGGCTGCTCCCCCTTTTCATTCACCCCGAGCTTCCTGCTGTGGATTTTCATGCTTTGCTTCACGCGCCTGGGATCGTCACCTTTGTCTTCCTCCTTCTCCTCCTCTCTGTCTTCCAAATGGAAAAACGCGAGGAGAAAGCACAAAAAGAAACACACGCTCGCTCCTGTCATTTTTCCATTTGAAGGAAGTGCGGTGTGTGTGTGTGTGTGTGTGTGTGTGTGTGTGTGTGTGTGTGACTTTGCTCCTGGTCTTTCGCAGCAGCCTGTGCTCGACGTCCTGTCCCCAGCCAGCCGAACAGGAGTTGGGGAATTCACCCCTTCTGGCCTTGCGTGGGCCAGGCTGGCGGAAGCCACCCCCAGATTGCACTCCTTGGGCTGTGGGTCATGCGGCGTGATGGCCAATTTCCATTGCTCTTAAAGGCCCTGGAGCGGATCTAGGCACTGCCATTCTGAGCCTGCTGGGGGCAATGACCGCCTCACCTGTTGCGCCTCCCGGGAAGGCTGATCGGGGGTCTCCGGGGTAGCCGGAGCAGCTGAGGTGCCCTCTCCCCTTCCTGGGGCAGCAGGGGTGAGGTGAGGCACCTTTAAGATGAGCAGCTGGGGATGGGCTGCTGCGAAAGACTAGGAGCAAAGTCTCACAAACACACGCACAAAATCCGTGTGCACAGCAGTACTGGTGAGGTTTTTAGTGAACAGTGCAGGAAGCCAGACTTGCCTTCAAAGGTGGCAAAAAAATTTAGATTTCACCACTATGTAGAAGTATCCATATTTTCTCAGTCAAAATAGAACAGAAGAGAAACCTGTTGTCTAGAGAACCGGCACTAGGTCAACTGATTTCCTAGTGAACTAAGCAAAACAGAGGCTTTCGTGGATAGGAACAAAGCTCAATTTCTCTGCACCAGATGAATACCTATCAGACAAAATGCCTTGCACGCCAAAAACACGCTTTGTGTCCAGAGGCAGACACTTCCTTCTTACATGAAGTGAAGGGCGAAATAGGCATCTCCAACAGTTTTCACCTCTCTTCATCAGAGAGTCTGATGCATGCTCCCTAACCGGGTTTTCCTTTTCCTGATTTCTGTCTGGTGTTTAGGAAGAACCTGTTTGCTCCGATGTACATTTCTCCCAGGTTCTGCTGTCTTCTGCTAAACAGGGTTCCCGGTAATTTTGAAAATCATTAAAGGGCAGTAGATTTTGAGAATTATTCTATACCGGTGTTTGTTAATCCGTAAGGATTCTGTTTTATGGGTTGAATTGGATCCTTTTTACAATTCATTCATCTTTTAACAATTGACTGTTGTCTGGGACCTCAGTGAGGCAAATGAATAATTCTGGACAGACCCAGCTTTCTCATCTTTTCTCTTTCTCTATTTTGTTTGAATAATTTTATTAAAATAAGATTGTATAAAGATTTTAAAAACTACAGAAATAGAAATATAAAAATACACACACACACACACACACAAAGACAACCCATGCACACAGCAGTGATATGGAATGATAGGACCAAACAACATTCCTGGGTCAGCCAGAGACAGTTTTTATTGCGCAAGGTTCAGAGGCAGATTGGTTCTTGCTATCTGAACAAAGAAAGAGCCCTGGTAGGACTGCTTTTATACATATCCAAGACAAAGGACTTTGCTGGCACA